AGAGGAGCCAGCCTGAGACGGAAGCATTGACCCGAGAGTCACCTTTCTGTGCAGCCGAGACAGACGTGGTAGACACAGGAAGCCACCATTCCCTACACACAAGACTGTCTTCATGTCCACACTGTGGGAATGTGGCACATTCACAGTCGTCGCCGATCAGCTTTCCAGCAGAAACCCGCATTCTCTTAAAGACCAAAGAGGCGGACATGATGACAAGGTTTGCGCAACACTTACACACGCTTTGTTTTGTTGTCCTTATAACAATTCTGCCAGGCAGTCAGTCAGTAAACATTTACTAAGCACTATGCTAAGCACCCTCAGGAAGCTTCCAGTCTAGCCAGGGAGACAGCATGCAAACACATATGGACAAAAGAGAGCTTGTCCCCTCTGAGGGAGGGCACCAGAAGGGAGAGCCAGGTGAACTTGAGACAGGGCTCTGCACTGGAAGCTGCAGGAGACTTCAGAGGCTCCCTGGCTGCACAGATGGGGAAACTGAGGCCAGAGAAAGTTACTTTCCCAGGTGACCCCAGGAGTGACTGTCACATGTACCACTGAACCCCAAGAGCCAGGGACTTCCTTCTCATTGGAGCACGTGGCCTTCTAGCACCACTGACTTCCAGGCAGTTTCTAGACCCCATCCAATAAAGCTTCTACTTTATACCAAGGACTGAGTAATTTATGGAACCCCACTTCAGGGCAACGTGTGAGTCACAAAATCAACAGAAATGTCCCCAGAAGGCTAGGAAGACAAAAGATATAATCTTTTCTTTGGAACAAACCTAGGTCACCATTTAAAAAAAAAAAAGAACTGTGCAGGTTAGGAAGAGACACATACAGATGAAAGCCCAGAGCAATGAGAGAGGGTAAGTGGACACAAGGATGTAGCAGGTTCCTGGCCAGTCAGGGCCACCACTCAGGAACTCAGCAGAGAGCGAAGGGTCTGGCTCTTGTCTCCTGAGCCGTCCTGGGGTACAGGGGCAGGGACGGCCAGAGAACAGCTGCCCAAGCAGCTTGCCATCAGATGGGAAAGGACAGAACACCACCGGCTAATGGGGAGTTGATAACAAAGATTAACAAGGCGCTGCCCTGACGAATCCAAGTCCCAAGGCCCGCCTGAGCTTCAGGGCTGATTGACCATGCCGAGGGAAGGACAGGGAGAGCACAAGATGCCCTCCAGGGCTGGCAAAGGCAAGGACCAGCGCCGTGCTCAGAGAGCCGAGCCTGTGGGCAATCAATGCAGAAAGGCACAGGCTGCAAGCGCCACGTTTTTACTTCCAGCTTATGATGCAATAAAAGAAAGACCGACTAACAGGAAACGTGCTAGGGAAAGGTGCACACCGACAGCCCGAGAACTGACTTCTTGCTTCTCAAAACGTTTTTTTAACCCAGGCATTACTCAACAGCAGACTATATTACAGACACAACCACGTAAACATAACACATCAACGTTTCTGGGCCCATGCCAAGGCCGTGCTCAGAGGCAAACGGACGTTCCTGAATGCTTATGGGAACAAAAAGGGGAGAATTAAAGAGCTGGATCTCCACTTAAAGCAATTGGAAAAGGAACAAAACGAAGAAAATGTTTAAAAGAAATCAATAAAACAAAAAACAACTGAGTTGACAAGGGCTGATTTTTAAAAGACTCATGCAATTGATAAACCATTAACAAGAAAAAAATTAAACTGCGCTCCCTCAGAAATGAGAATGGAAATCAAGCCTAAGGAAGCAAAAGCTCCCGACCGGCCCTGGGACCCGAGGTCCTCGTGCCACGCCCACTAAGGGAGGTTGGCTAGCTGGTGACTCTAAGGGTGTCGAGAGGGGAGGGGATAGCTTCTGACTTGTGACTGAATGGAGGCTGGGCTGCACAAATCATCCATGGCTGCGGCTGTGGTTTATCTTGTTCTGGAAGAGGACCACAGTCTCAGAGGAGCTCACCACCACCACCTCACTGCACTCTGGGACAGGTTCATGGTTAGGAAGCTCCTCCTCACCCCTAGCGTGTCGGGATCTCTGCACAGCTCCCCCTACTACGAGCAGCCCTTCTGGCTGGGTCACGGTCATGGCTGATCCTCCCTGAGGCCATCTCTTCTCCAGGGGGCCTCCCCAGGTCAGCTAAAGATCCACAGGACCTTTGGTTTTCTCTGGGGGATGGAAGGAACGCTCTCTCCCCACAGATCCAGAGTGGGCAAGGTGGCCAACTCCTACAAAGGTTCCCAAAGGACATAGAGAAAGGAGGATGCAGTGAGTCCATTCTGAACCCAACCCTCCTAATGTCAAACAGTAATCGGCAGAGAATGAGGACCTGGCGCTAGATGGCCCAGAAACACTGCACTGGTCTGACAGTCCTGGAGAGTGAGGATCAGGACTGGAGTCACTGCCCGCCCCTACCACCGGTCATGTGGACCCAGCCATGCGATCCTTTCCCAGCCTTCTCCACTTCGGAGCCCATTAAAGGCCTCCGTGTTTGACCGCTGAAGAGGCCGGAGGGTACATGGAAAAGGGCAGCTTCTGGTGGTGAGAGGCCTGGGACCCAGGTTCCTCGGTGACCCTGAACAAGTCTGGCTGTTGATTTTCCACCCTGCTGTGTTGCATTCTTTCTGCTCTTAGGGGGATGAGTAGGGGTGACAGGCAGGAGGCTGGAAAACCCAGCCGAGGTCCAGGGCTCAGCCCGGCCATGTCCTGTGGGCATCGATGCCGCATTGGGAAGCCAATGCAGAGGGGAGAAGGTTCTGGAGCGGCCTCTTTGGCTCCTTTCTCCAAGGACCAAGGCCGTGGAGGGGATGGTACCCCAGTTTGGGGGAGCATATCTGTGCTTTGGGTACTGTGCTATCTTTTCAGGAAACACTTCCTTGGAAAAGCTAATTGGTGTGAACTGGAGAGATGATTTTGGGGAGAACATGCAAGAACAGGGGCTCAAGCTATGAATGCTAGAAAAAGACCCCCCCCAGGGGGCCCACAGAGCAGGGGTGGGGGAGGATCAGTCCAGAGTCTCGCTATGCAGCAATGACATTTCATTAACTAGGGGCCGTGCAGAACAGTGGGCAGAGAGCCGTCTGGAGCTGGGGTGACCTGGCTCCCAGCTCCACCTCTGACGCGTACGAACTGAGACCCTGGGTGAGTCACTCAAACCTTTCAGGCAACCCGACCCTCTCAGGACTGTAAGTGACAAATTCCGTTAGTGGGAGTTTTCTGATGATCACAAATAATCAGTCTAAAAATAAGAATAATCACTAACACTGACGTGGCCCCTAAAGTCTCAGACACGACGATCTCTTCTCCTCACAACAGCCTTGTAAGGTAGGTGCTACAGGCAGTGTGGTCCCCTTGTTAAAAGTGGGCAAACTGAGGCTCAGAGCTCAAAAGCCTTATCATGCCCTGATCACACAAGCTAAGTCAGGGGTTAGAGGCAGGATCTGAACTCAGGGCTTCCTTATTCCACCCACCCTCCTGCAATGCCCCTTACTAATCAGAGAACAGTGCATAAACACAGCAAAGACCCACAGCTGTACAACAGCCACCCGACAGGCACAGACAGGATTTGAAGGCTAAAACTGCAACAGAAAAATAAAAGGAATCGTGAGAATGGAGTGTGCATGATTCTATCAACTCAACTGAAAACTCAGAGAGTGTATTCTACAGAGATAGAAAGGACCCGGCAAGCAGAACGTGAAATGCAGGAAGCTTCAATGACCCAATCGCAGAAAAGGAAAATACCAAGGACAGAGAGGCGAAGAGCAGGATTCCAGACAGACCGGGACGACTCTTCCATCAAACTGGTCAAGAAAAATAAGTCCCTCCATTACACCAATTATTCATAAGACCCGAGGAAAAAATCATCTACCAAATACCCTGGATAAGGCAAAGGCACGTCTAACACCCAAACCCCAGAGAAGGATAAAGTAAAGAAAAATGACACCACACTGTCATTAGAGGACAGCAATTCAAAAATGCTTAATGAAATCTCAATTAAAAAAAAGGATGCACGCGAGTGCATGTATATGTGTGTGCGTACACACATATGTATACACGTGCACACATGTACATGGGATTTAAACTAGACATGCAAAGATGGCTCAACATATGGAAAACAACAAGACAATACTGAATCTGTGCTTCAAAACACTGCCAAGGACAAGCACAGAATGATCTTTCTGGATGTGATAAGAAGCGTCTATCTTATATAACAAATAGCTAACATTTACATGGCGCTTCAATGTCTACAAAGGGCTTTATGTATTATCTTATCTGACCCTCACAACAGCCCTGTGAAGCAGGTGGGATTCTTATCCCCATTCTGCAGATGAGGAAACTAAGGCTGAGTGAGGTGAAGTGACTTGGCCAGAGTCACGCTGGCAGGATTTGAACTCGGGTCTTCCTGACTCTGGGTCTAGCAATATATTATTTTGGTTGCAGTAGATGAAGAAAGTCCAGCCTCACACGGACCTGTAGCTGGACCTTATGATCTCAGGGAGCGTAGGAACTCATCCTAGAGATCAGCAAAGAAGTTAATTGAGATGAGTAGCTTTAGCAGAGAAGCAGAATACAAAAATAAACTGACCATGTCAACAGCATTTCTATAAGACATCAGTCAAACAAAGGAGGAAGTCAGGAAAGGTCTAAAAGAGAGAAATTGGAATAGTTCTGTGGAGGCCATCCGTAGATGGGTGTAGACAGGACAGGAGGCACTCCTTAAAGAGAGGAGGGTCACTCAGAGTTCCCCAGGGGGCTGGAAGCTCATACTCACGTGCTAATAAATAACCAGACCACTGACACTGACCTAGTGTGAGCCCAGAGGGCCCCTCTCCCAAGGGAAGGCCTTCCAAAGCAGGAAATGACAAAATGCACTTGGAGGAAAAGAGATCTGGAATCTCCAGGGAAACGTTTATTTTCAGTCAGCATGAAGGGGCAAATCACAACAGGATTGCCTGCCTCAAATCCTACAATAAACGGGGAGACCCCAAACGATTTCTTGCAGCTGAAGTGACTGCCCGGCGGCTCACCTGCTCATTAGCGCACCGAGACCCTGCAGAACGGCCAGGCGGCAGCCAGGCTCACACAAGGCTCCTCCACCACACACCACACTAAGCTCTGGATGAAGAGGGGATGTCAGGTCACCCACAGAGGTCACCAGAAAAGCAGGAACATCCCGCTGCGGCCTTTATCCCAAGGAGGTCAAGGAAAGGTCCCAGAGGCACCAAGACGTTCCTCCTGATACTTCTGTGGTGGCAAAGCAGCGGAAGACAGGAAGGTTCCCATCGATGGGGGCGGCGGGTGAACAGACTGTGGTCCGTGAACGTCAGGCCACATTCCTGTGGATGTGATGATCAGAGAGAGGCCGCGGAGGGACGGGCAGTGGTACCAAGCAAAGTCCACAAAGACGGTAAAACAGCCATGGCGATCCACTCTCCCTCTTGGCAGAGGGAGAGCCTGCAGATGACATCAGACTGGGGGAGAGGGCTACGCTGGAAAATAGGGGAGGTACAAAAACAAAAATGGCCTGCTCTGGTCAGCGGCTCTCCAGCTCAAGACCCTTCCATGGCTGCCGCTCACCTCTAGGCTCAAACAGAAGTCCTTATTGCACCATGTGCATACACACACACACACACACACGCGCGCGCGGGCGCGCACACACTCCATGCTCCACCCAAACTGGCCTCCCTGCTGTCCCTTACCAGATCCTCCTTCCACCTCCATGTTCCCGTTTTCTCCCCCACCCCCTCCAGGAAGTCCACCCTGATTCCGCAGACCCCACAAGCTCCATGAGGGTGGGCGCTGTTTCACGGTGCCTTTGCATCCCAGACTGAGCACCTAACACGCAGTGTCTGAGGGCACCCAGTCCAACCCACAGTGAGAAGGGAAATCCCAGCCCCAATGCTGCTGACCTCACAACCTCCCAAAGCTGCCTGCTCCACCTGGGACAGCTCCTTGGGGCCCCTCAGGCTCCTGGTCCTGGCCCCACCAGAAACAGAAAGCGGCTCTCACACCTGGCTAGTCCCTTGGCCTCAAAGCCACCCCTTCCCACGTCTTTCATCTCTAGCTCCTCCAATTAACACCCTACAGCGGGGCTGACAGCACTTGTCTCTGGGGCAGGCGGATGAGTCTGACACCGCACCAGAAAGACCCATGTGGTTCCAGCCCCTTGGGGACAGACTTCTCGCCCCCTGCTGCTCCAAGGAAAGGTGCCTTCCCCTCCGACGCCCTCGCCCCGCTCTAGAAACCACAGGAAACCAGAGGCTGGTCCCGCGGGGCAGAGGGGCGGAAGCCAGCTGTCGGTGGCCCAGAAAAGGCCTCGACAAGCCCCAGCGGGTCAGTGCCTCCTTGGAAGGCCCTGCTCCATGTGGGATGGTCAGCCAGTGAGGATGCCCAAGTCGCACCTGGATCACCTCTGGGAGAAAGACTGCCTGCCTTGCAAAGGGACCCACCGGCCTCCCCAGCACAGACACTCCCCCACCCCCACATGCACACGGCTCAAGGCCTCGAACACCGCACAGAGGGTCCGGGTGATTTAGGGCCGCCCACCTGCGGCCTCTCCAGGGCTTGCCAGATCACAGCTGCTGCTTCTCTTTTACAGGACTCGTTCTTGGCACTGGCCTTGGGCACACATTCCAGGCCGGATGAGGACGCTCCCTCCCCAGGACCCTGGAGGCAGGACACAGACCGTCAAAGCTAGATAAAACCTTCCCATCCGTGAGGGAGGAAGGGAGGGCTTATGGTCCATCACCACCTCCTCAGCCCACATCCCTGTCCTGGACTCTGGGGCCATGGGCGCTGGGAGTGGCACCCCTTTTTGGGCCACCACTGGATGACCCCGGCTTGTGTCCGGTGCTTGGGAAGGGGAAGGAAGGAAGGGCCAACACTTATTCACTCAACAAGCACTAGAAGAGAGCACTGACAATGAGTCCAAGGATCTGGGTTCAAATCCTGCTTCTGACCCTCACCCCTGACCTTCACAGGCCTGTTTCCTCCTCACAAAGTAAGGGGCTCAGATTGGAGGAGCTCCCAGATCTCTTCTGGCTCCAGGGAGATACCCTGCAAAGAGGATACACTGCCTGCCCCGCCCCCAGCCCCTCGTTTTCCAATCTGGCCCCCCCTTTCAAGGATAGAGGCCAAGGGTCATCCCTAAACGAGGGAGGGAGAAGTCAGAATCTCGGGCCAAGTCAGGCCCTCCTGCCAAAGGCCACATCAGGGATGGCTCGGCAGACAGGCAGTGTCTCTCACACTGGGGGCCTCCTATTAATAGGCTCCCGGACATGCAGGAGCCTGCCAGAAATCTGTGTGCTCCTGTCAAGAAAAGCCCATTATCTGAACTCGCAGAGATAAACTGCGGACGATTTATTGGCCTTTTCTAAAGGATTCACTATGTGGAGACTTAAATGAGCTCCCAGGGATTTAACTGTCTGATCACAGATCTGCCTTCGATGGAGGGAGGGAGAGAGGGAAGGAGAAAAGGGACAGAAGAAAGAGGGGGAGGGAAAGAAGAGAGGGAAAGAAGGAAGGAAGAAGGGAAGAAAAGAAAGAGGAGGAAGAAGAAAGGGAGGGGGGAAAGGAAGGAGGGAAGGAGAAAAGGAAGGACAGAAGAAAGAGAGGGAAGGAAGAAGGGAAGAAAGAGGGGGAAGGTAGAAGAGAGGGAAGGGGAAAAGAAGGAGGGAAGGAGAAAAGGAAGGACAGAAGAAAGAGGGGGAGGGAAAGAAGAGAGGGAAAGAAGGAAGGAAGAAGGGAAGAAAAGAAAGAGGGGGAAGGAAGGAGGGGAGAACCTGGTGAGAGTCTGGGAGGCCAAGCCCCTCGGCACTCATGTGCCAAGTGCTCCTGCCAAGGTAAACAAGAAAAAACACAGGGATTTTGTTACCACGACACCCCCTTCCCAGGACCCCTGGAGATGGGCAGCATCGCTGAGCCCAAGCACAGGGTCACCAGCCAGGGTGGGAGGACAGGCAGGGCCTGGGGCTGCTGATCCCCCTTTCTGCTTCCTCAGGTCCACGGCCAAGGGAAAGAGGCCCCCCCACCAAGGCGGAAGCCACTCAGCCAGTCACCTCCTGCGCACTCGCCAGCCCCACCCACAACACACAGAAAGCAGGGGCTTCTCTGGAGCCACAGCGGCCCCTAAAAGGCCTGTCTGATCACGAGGGTAAAGGAAGTGGTGTGCGTGAAGAGTTTGGGAAACACCATGTGGCCAGGTTGGGAAGGGATGATCAGGCAGGAGGTTCTGCAAAGTGCTGGGTACGGTGGCAGGAGCCCAGACCTCGCTCCACAGCCCAGCAGGAATTAGGAGCCTGTGTCCCTGGGAACGCCACCTCATCATGGGCCTCCCTCTCCTCCGAGGGGTCCCTGTTGTCGGGGGGCTACCCTCGCCCATCCTCTATGGAGGATGCCGGTCCTCTGCTCATTTGAGAAGGCAAAGGTGCCTGGGTGAAGGACCTTCCGGCCCTGGGAACCAGGAGCTGAGAAACAGGAGCCGAGCCTCTCTCTGCCCCCACCCTGGGGGATGGCCAGAGCGCTCCTGTCCAGCTGGGACATACCAAGTACCTAGAACGTTCTGCAACTCATCACGTCTTTGAAGAAGAGGGGCTGTCGACGTCCAAGCTGGAATGGGCCTCAGCCAAGGAGCCAAGACAAATGTTTAAATTCAGAAGCAGACAAAGTGAAGCACAACCAAGCCATCTGCCATGCTCTCCCCAGCGGGAGCGATCACAGAGATCTCTCCCGCTCTCAGAGACAGAATGAGAGCCCTCTTCCTGGGAGGCTGCAGAAGAGGCCCCCACGAGGTCGCCTGGGAGAGCTGGGGAGGACCACCACAGCCACCTGTTTCCTTTCTCCACAAATGGAGTTTCTGAACCCCTCCTGCTCCCCTCGGCCTGAGGCCTCATCAGAGCAGGCCTCTGACCAGGAAGAACAAGGTCTGAGGGGGTCCACCCTGACCCTCCGCAGCATCCCACCCATAGTCAATGCATTTAATACTGTTAAGAGTCAAACTCAACTCAAGAAACCTGCTTCAGGAGGCTCACATTCCCTAAGCCATGGGGGAGGTAGCTATCAGCTTGGCCACCAGGTGATGGTTGGGGCCCAACTGCCCCCAAGGACCAGCAGCTGGGTAGCAGCTGGCTCCTGGCCAGGCCCACACAGAAGAGGCCGCGGCCCAGACCCCAGCCAGGAATCACTGCAGGAGAGGTCAGCAGTCCAGCGACCCCTCAACAGTGCCCTGAAATCTTGCCGATGACTCGGGCGGGATGCCCCCAGGATGGCTCAGCCCTAGCACTGGGTGGGAGCAGGTCCTGAGCTGCCCATCTCAGCCTGCCAAGATGTCTCTTATAGGCCAGCAGTTCTCCAGATGCCCACGCACATGGGATGAGGGACCAGGCACCGCAGCCCCACAAGACTTTGGGGCAAGTCTCCCGCTTTCTGGGTCAAAGCCTACAGGAGACTTGAGCACAGGAAACATGTGGGGGACGGGGTCACTCCAGGGGAGCCAAGAAGGCCCTACCCCTCTGGCCACCCTTCTCCCACACACACACCCTAGTCCACTCCCACCACAGCTGCTCTCAGCTGCCCCTGCAGTCAGATGCCTGGAGCCAGGGCACTCGGTGAGATCCGAGGGCCCCAGACCTGGAGCTGGGAGGCCTCAGGGGTCACGTCCAGTCCCCTCCCCTTACTGAGATAGCAAGGAGGCCCCAGAGCTCCCGAGGGCCGGACAGGTGGTAGGGCAGCAGCATTTATTAGGCACCTACTGTGCAGACATGGAAAAAGAATGGCGGGCCCTGACAAAGTCATCTAAATGCCTGCAAAAGAGGTGCTGTCGATGGCGAGGAGGCCCAAGCGCGCAGGAAGACCCGAGTGTGAATCCCACCTCAGACGCTGCCTGGGTGACCCTGGCCAAGTCCTTTACCTTCCTGTGCCTCAGTTTCAATCTCTGTAACAGGGAGGGAGGGGTTGACTCAAAGGTCTCCGAGTGAGAGACAGAGAGAGACAGACAGGGACAGAGGGAGGAGGAGGTTGAGAGAGACAAAGTCCGAGTGGAGGAGGAGGGAGGGCAAGTGTGAGTGCACATTTATCAAGCACTAGGTGGCGCCGGGCACCCAGCTAGTCCCAGGAATACAAACAGAACCTGGATTTATTACATGCCCGTCCCATGCTGGGCACCATGAGGGGGAGAAGGGCACCCGCATGAAAAACGGCGCCGTCCCTGAGCTCAGCGACTCCCTCACGCTCTCCTCCATCCTGCAGGCATGCTCCCGGAGGCCGCGCTCCAGGAGGCCTGGCCAGAGAACAGGAGCGTCTGTCCCCCAAAGAAGGAAGGCTCACAGGAGCCCAAAGCACCAGATACCGTGGGCTTCCTCGTTTCCCAACGTGATCCAGGAGATGGGGGATTGTTTAAAGGGGAGTCTTTAGACTTTATGCACCAAAATAAAACATATTAATTAAGGCGACTTGTTAGAAGCATAAGCTGTCACAGTACAGCAGAAAGTCAGTGGGACACCAATGACGGGAAGACGCTCTGGCCTGGCCCTGGCTTGGGTTCCCAGAATGGCCCCAGGCCCCCTGCCCTGGGAAGAAGCGCTTCCCCCCATTGACACACCATCTAGACCCGCTGATGAGAGGGAGCAAAGGCAGCCTCTGTGCCCAAGCAGGAGAATTCACACCTGGGAAAAGTCTGTCACTGCAGAGAGAGAGAGAGAGAGAGAGAGAGAGAGAGAGAGAGAGAGAGAGAGAGAGAGAGAGAGAGAGAGAGAGAGAGAGAGAGAGAGAGAGAGAGAGAGAGAGAGAAGGTCTGTCTTAGCCCTAGGGCGGCAGCTGCTTCCCCAGTTTCTGGCCCACAGTCGAGTAGCTGATCAGAAGGGGATTGCAGGGATCTCTCTGCTGGTACAGGATTCCCCTGCTTTGCCCGTACATGGATCTGGGTCACAGTTCTGGGTGTCAGTCCTAGAGCGAGGAGGGGTGCTGGCGTGGTGGAGCTTGTAGTGGTAGTGCAGAGAAAATCCTCCTCACAGTTCCAAGACAGAAAAGAGTGCTTGTGGTCACTCAGACCAGAGCACAGGCCAGGAAAGGAGTAAACACCTCACCCCTTATTATACCACCTTGGAAGAACTGAAAATTTACAGGTCCCTAGAAGTGTTTCTGAAAACAGCTACACAAAACCCCTGAAGCTTGGGACAGTACATTCTCCACACTGGAAGCAGACCCCTACCTTAAGAAAGAGTTTAAAATTCAAGTAATTGGCTCAGATCATGAACAAAGGCACAAAAAGTCAGACCATAAAATCTTTTTTTTAGTGACAAAGAAAATCCAAACATACAACCAGAAGAAGACATCAAAGTTAAAGCTCCTACAATCTAAAGCCAAGAAAAATATGAATCAGTCCCAGGCCATGGAAGAGCTCAAAAAGGAGTCTGAGAGACAAGCAAGAGAAGTAGAGGAAAAACTGGGAAGAGAAATGAGTGGTACAAGAAAATCATAAAAAACAAGGCAACAGCTTGCTAAAGGAGACCCAAAAATATACGGAAGGAAATAACACCTTAAAAAATAGCGTAGCCCAAATAGCAAAAGAGGTCCAAAAAGCCAGTGATGAGAAGAATCCCTTAAAAAGCAAAATTGGCCAAATGGGAAAGGAAGTCTCAAAGCTTACTGAAGAAAATACTTCCTTAAAA